GCTGACAAATGTGCAGCATGTGTGTTGATGCTATGATATCCTGAGGAATGTTTCCAGCAACCCGTTGAATATACACTACGAAGATCTAAGTTGGTAGTTGGTAAAATCAGGCCCAACCTGCTACTAATACACAAATATATACATGTAACGAAAAATAATTTCCCCCAGGGATCAATAAAGTATTCTGATTCTGATTCAAATGGATTTCTGCTGGACTCTGTTAAACAAAACAACCTTAATCAAGAACCCCACAAAGACTAAACATTAGGCATGAAGTAGGCACTTAAAGACACTTAAAGATAAAACACACGCAGACACACTGTGAGCGGAGTCTACAAGGCTGAAACCAACAGGGCAAACTGTGGCGTGATGTTGATATAGGACAGGAGTGATATAAACTGCATATCAAATATAAATGGAGTGTGCTTTACCATAGCTCTGCTCTCTATCAACATCAACAGATCACCACTACAAGTGGCATTAACCTCAGTATGTGTCTGTAACACAAACAATAAGTCGTTTATCACACTGGAACAATGAGCTCAAAATCTGAAAGCAGAGTATTGTCTGATTAGGAACTGAAATTACATCCAAGTACCATATGCTATTAGAGCAAGACAAGTCTTTTTGGAACTGGACCCTATTCCTTTCCATTTTCTGTTTTTAGTATGTTATTTGTATCCATAAACAGCGAGGCACTAGGGAACTGTAAATTATAATGATGCTGCAGGTTTAGTTTCGGGGCATATTTGTAGAAATAGTGCTTCAAGCCTCTGGCTAGGAGTTACAACAGCTTCTTTTGGACTAAACAGCTTTGGCAACCAACCCACTGGGATGGCTGCCCTGGAACTACGTGCCATCAGAGCTTTTCTTCTGCTTGCTTTAGCATCGCTAATTGCAGAGGCACCGCTCTTTGTTGACTTTTACTTCGTTGTGAACCTTTTTACATCCTCTTCATTTTTCCTCACTGTATTGTGTGTGCCTAACAGCAAGTTATAGGGAAGTGCCAGTGCATGTTTTTTTCTAATTTGTTCTAAATTGTAAGATTTCCCGCACTGGAGGCCTGGACTTCACTGCTGGAGTTTTTTTCCAGTTTTTAGTCCTAAAACTAAAAAC